TGGGTTTCCCTCTTTGAGCATCTTTCATTTGAAGACACTTCTTCATTGTGCTTTGTGTTTTCTTCTATGTACTCATATCTCCTGCATTGGGTTCTAGGTTGGGGGTTTGTTCCTGGATCAAGTTCCTTACCTGAACTACAACATAACGTGGACAGATGCTGCTTTATTGGAAAGGGGTGACTAAGATGAGATCTCAACTTCTGCAAGGATTGTCTGACCTTGTCTCTGGCTATGATTTAAGCCTAAACTGCCTGGTTCCTGGGTTGGGGATTGGTTGCATGAATGCTGTGTCCAGCACTGCCCCCTGTTAGCACCTTGGGCTGCCTTGTGTGGAACTGGGCTACTTTATACCACACCTTCTAAACACTTTGGATTGCTTTTGTCCAGAGCTTCCACCAGATTGTGGCAGATTGGATGGAGGGGTTCATAGTGGATGATTTTTGCTTGTCTTTATCATCATTTGTTCTGGTGCATTTTTAGAGTATTGCTGCAATATTTTTGGGGGGAGGGTTTGGGGGTAAATGGGATCTAGCCTCCCTCTAGGTTCTAACTACTGCCATCTTTCCACAAACCTCCTAATTGTACAGTCTAAAAAAAAGTCATAGAATCTTATAGTTGAAAGAGATTTTAGAAGTAGTGGAGCCCAACTTCCCACCTAATTTCAATAGCTTCCTTTCCAGATAACCATCCAGTCACTTCCAGGACCATGGAGGTGACTCACTATGTGCCATGAATACATATGATGTCATCATTGTCATCATCATCATCATCGTCATCATCATCATCATCATCATAATACTTAACACTTATATAGTACCACCTGTGTGCCAGGTGCTAAGTGCTTTACAAATATTTCTCCATTTGATCCTAACAACATATTATATATTTATATAATATATATTACATATTATTTATTAGATAATATCTTTACATATTATATATTTACATTTTGAAAACTGAGGCAAATAGGTTAAGTGACTTGCTTAGGATCATACAACTAGTAAGTGTCTGAAGCCAGATTTGAACTCTCTTTCTGACTAAAGTGAACAACATTGATGATCAGGGGTAAAAATATTCTTATATTGAACCAGTAATAGCTCATTATTTCTAAGCACTGTGACAAATTACTTCCCTTAGAGAAACCCAGTTAGGTAGGTAGTACAAGCAGTATTTGTTGTTTGTCGTTCAGTTGTGTCTGACTCTTTGTGACCCCCTTTTTGGAGTTTTCATACTAGAGTGGTTTGCCATTTCTTTCTCTAGCTCATTTGACAAATGAGGAAACTAAGGCAAACAGGGTTAAATGACTTGCCCAGGGTCACACAGCTAGGAAGTGTCTGAGGCCAGATTTGAACTCATGTCTTCCTGATGCCAAGCTCAGTGCTCTATCCACTGCACCACCCAGCCGCCCATACAAGCAGTATTATGCCAATTATATAGAGGAAGAAACTGAGGCTCAGAGCAATCTAGTGATTTGATTTGATTTATTTTTTTGGATTCTTTTTCTGTGTGTGAGGCAATCAAGGTTAAGTGACTTACCTAGGGTCAAACAGCTAGTAAGCATCTGTGTCTGAGACTGGATTTGAACTCAGATCCTCCCAACTCCAGGGCTGGTGCTCTATCCAGTTACCTGCCACAACACGTTTAATTTTTAATTGATTTTTTGTCGTTGCTTGTTCAGAAACCTTTTACTGCTGCCAATTTTTTTGTGATCCCACATGGAGTTGAGGCCCACAGTTGAAGAAGCACTGGAGGGGCAGCTAAGTGGATAGAGCACTGTCCCTGGAGTCAGAAGGACCTGAGTTCAACTCTGGCCTCAGATGCATGATACTTGCTGGCTTTGTGACCCTGCGCAAATCAACCCTGACTGACTTGCCAAAAAAAAAAAAAGCACTGGACTGATGTCTCTAAATCCTATTATCTTATGACCTAAATGAGCTAATTTGGATTTCTGTAATCAAGAGCCAGCATTATAGGCTGTAGAGACCTAGGAAAGATTAATCTCCTCTCCTCAAGATTAAAAAATGAAAAAGCCAGCAGCACCTGGATTTCAGGGAACAGGCGTAGAGTCAGATCCAGGTCACATCAAAGGCAGCTGAAATTTTCTGGCTAACCCATTCAAAGGTTAACCACTGCCTGATGGTCAGCATCCCCAAATTTCACTTCCTTGTAAAAATGCAGAGCTGATGGAGAAGTCCTCACGGGGATGTGGCTAAGTGATTTATGAAGGCGGAAGAGCAAGTAGTCAGAACTAAGAATCCATTTGGGATCTAGAAGCAGTTTGGGGCATTGCCTCATCTGGGTATGCTTGAATACAGTTGGGAATGTATCTAGTACCACTTACATTTTTATGTGCTCCAGAACTACCTCTGGTGCCCCATTTGTACAAAATCCCTGAATATAGCCCTAACTCTGCGTCAGCTCATCCTCTTTGCCCCATATGCACTGAACCACTGAATCCTAGTTCTGTTTTCAAGTGTTTGACTGAACTGAATCTCTTGCATTTGATGCCTTTTGCCATGGAGAGAGTACTCACCTGAAGGTTTTATATGTTGTGTTCTAGTAAGTGGCAAAATGGTTAGAGCACTGAGCTGGGATTTAGGAAGACTCATCCTTCTGAGTTCAGGTCTGGCCTTAGACACTCTCTAGCTGTGTGACCCTGGGCAAATCGCTCAACCCTGTTCTCAGTTTTCTCATCTGTAAAATGAAGTGAAAAAGGAAACGGCAAACCAGTGCAGTATCTTTGCCAAGAGTCAGACATGACTGAAAAAATGAATGAACAAAGTATGGACACTCTCTGGTAGGAGCTCAGGTGAATCTTCAGGAATCTTCTAAGAAAAAAAACCCCAACAATGATTTAATAATGCCTCGGGAAAAGATTATGAAACATATTTCCTCCCTCATGGCAGATAGGTGAGCGGTTACTAAGACAAATTTTTTTTTTCTATATTATGACACAATCACTATATCAGATGTTTTGCCTATTTTTTTCTTTGTCACAGGAGTTTTGATTCAAATAAAGTATAGGAAATAACAGAAGATATAAAGACAAAAGGCATCCATAAAAATGCCTTATATTAAAAAAAAAAGCTTTCAGTCCCTCTCCCTGCTTCTTGACAAGACTGCACCAGTTATCTCTTACAGGTGGATATCTATCCTTATTTCTCTAAGGAAAGGGCTTGACACCTTCCCTAGAAATTCATTCTTCCAATGGCACAATTTCTACTTCTAGAATAATCTATCAAGTTATCAGGAGGGGGAAATGGAGGAGAGTAATGTTTGCTGAAAGAAACCCAGTGAGACTCAGACAGGGCAGGCCAGGCAAGAGAAACAGAGAAATGATTAACCAGCTTAGAATAGAATGGAGAGCCAATGTGTATTTTATATATATATATATATACATACATACATACATACACACATACACACACACACACACACACACACACATATATATGATATATCTGGCAGGATATAGTGTATGCATTGGTAGGCACTGTCCAGCTCCTGTCTTGCCACCTTCACCGAAGACGCTATGGGCAAGAAAGTCCAGGGGGATTATTATGACCGTGAACTTCCAGATTGAGTCCTTTTCCCTGCCAGATCCTCCTAGCATTGTGGGATCTGCTTCAGTGTGAACATCCCTTATAGGAAATCTCTTCTCAATATTGAACACAAATCCCTCCTGTTGCCATTTAAACTCCTTTATAACTAAATTCTCCTGCATGATGTTATAATAACACCTGGAAGGGTATAGCATAACTCCGTGGCTGGGCAAGTTAGAAGCTTTGAGTTCTAATCCTATTTTTTTACCACTAATTTATTGTCTGAAATTGGGCAGCCCATGCCATAGGATTGGTAACTAGCAATAAAGACCATGAAGTACTGCATATTTATGAACATAATAAAGATAGTAGTAATAATAATGATAATATAGGACTCAACTAAATCCTGCTGGGTTTGGCAATTGAGGACGGTCTCATAGTAATTTTTCAACCATCTGAGGATCGTCAAAATCCCCAAGTGCATTTGGCTAAGGTTTTTTTCCCCCCTTACTCTTTAAACCCACATGTATTTTGGGGTAAATTTAATCCACATGTTTCTGATTCATTGACACTTAACTCATCAAAATGTTGTTTTGTAACAGCTATTTGATGTCCAAGAAGCCCTGTCTTAAACCTTCTTTCTTAGAAATAGGATGTTGTGGTTTGTCAAGAAAAAAAAAAAGCACACCCAATTTGAGCCCCCAAAGGTTTGAGTTGTACTTGAAACTGAGAGATGATGAGGTTGAGGCCTAATCTGGCCCAGTCCCCTTCTCATCAACCCTAATTAGCTTTCACCTCCTAGGTGATTTTTCAACTTGCCAATTCAATGATGTACTGACTGAAAATCCTTAGGCTCTAGTCAGCTATGTGATCCAGGGACAAAGTTTGGGCCCATTGAATGAGAAAATAGGATCTTATTCAAAGGAGGCCTTTCTCTCTCCTCAAGATACTTTTCCTTGCCTTGAAATGCCTTTTCCTTTCCCAGTTATAGTAAGGCTCTGTCAACTAAGCTGTAGGCCTGCCTCCTCACTACATGGTGCTTTTCCTCACACGTGAACTGCCTGGCTCGGGTGGGGAACTTGGTCCTTGGCACAGTTAAGCTTTTCTTCATTTTCCCTCTCAATGAAAGCACTGTGTCCATGGTTTTAGGGAAACAAGAAGCTCATAGCGTGAAGAATTCCATTGGTGCTGCAAAGAAGCTAGATTAAGTCTGATGCTGGAATGAGGCAAGCAGCATGATCCAGTGGAAAAAGCCCCAGCTTGGGGGTCGGGGAACATGGATTCATAATCCACCTCTCATGCTTATTGACCATGTAACCTTAGGCAAATCATTTACCTTCCCTGTACCTCAGTTTCCTAATCTGTAAAAAGGAGGGGTTAGACTGGATGATCCCTCCATTTCCCCACCCCCAACTCTGTCTCTCTTTCCCTTAAGATTTCAACAAAAGTGTCACTTACAATAGGACAAATACAAATGGTTACAGCTCCTCTCAGGAGATCCTTTCAAAGCTGCAAACGTGTGCCATCACTTATCTGTCATGGTGTCCTGAGACATCCTGCTTGGATGGGTTGGGGCCTTCTCGTTCAGCATCTACACAATACTGCAGCATTCCAGTTTGTAATCCCAATCCCAGTGTCTTTTCATGAGGTTTCTAGAAAAGTAGGATAGCCCTTTTTGTAGGCACTTATATCTGAGTTTCTCTATTAAAAGAGGTGAACAATGGAAGATAAATATTTGTTGAATGAATGAACTCAATGTGTGCCAAGAGCCCTGAATGAGCCCAGGCACATTGGGCTGTGAAGGACACCAGGGTGGTGGTTTGGTATAGTGGAAAGGACTGTGGAATAGGAGCCAGGAGTCATGGGTCTCAGTCCCTGATATACTTTTTAATGAGCTAAAGTGGACTCCTTTTGTGCCTCATTTTCCTCCTTTGAAAGATGAGGAAAATGGACTAGTTAAAAATCCCTTCCAACTCTAACAATCTATGGATCCACAAGTGAGTGACTTAACCTCTCTTGAGCCTTGGTTTCCTCATTTATAAAATGGGGACAATAATAAAATTTTATAGCTAGCTAGCTGCCCATCTTAGAGGACTTTCGTGAGAAAGTGTTTTCTTTTGAAAATTTATTTCTTAATTTTAAGGCTTTGTTTGTTTGTCTTATTTATTTTGAAGAAAACCTTTTCTAAACTGTAGTGTTAGCTATGTGAGAGGATGTGTGACATAATGAATTAGAAGGCTTACCTTGAAGTTCAGAAGATATTCTAGTCCTGCTATCTGTGGGACTATGGCCCATATACTTAAGCTTTCTTTACTTAATAAGATTTAATGAAACTCTGTAACACTGTAAAATACAGATTTGCCAACCCACAGCAGTGGAAGAAGTTTCCACACAAGGAGTTCCCCACACCAATGAAAGGTCCAAGTGACCAGTCCAAGTTCTTCCCCCCAAAAACAAACAAACAAACAACCTTGCTATATCATTGAGTTGTTATTATGCAAAAGAAAGGGAAAACAGAAGGGGAAAACACAGCGCTGTGCACATAGTTAAGTGGTTAATAAATGGTTGTCCTAGAATGGAAGAGGATTAGGACAATTGTAGGCTGAAGATGAAGTTGATGAAGAGAGCATTTGGCTCCAGGCATCTGGAGGCCTGCCTGCAGGCAACCCAAACCACAGGCTCCAGGCCCGGAGAGCAACCACTGTGACCTTTCCTATGTAGAGTTTATTATGAGGTCTTTGATGGTGTTGCCCCAACAATGGGGCCCACCCGATTGTGCTTTTCTAATTTTCTTGAGTGTTAAAAGGTAGGAGGGTCTCCATTCTTTTAAAGATAATCTCTCTGACACTTCTTTGCTTCAGACTGGATGGATTATTTTCTGTCCCTACCAAAAACATGCCACACCCTATACTTTTCTTCCTCCATGACTTTTTTTATTCTCTGTGTCTGGAATGTTCTCTGTTCCCCTCTTTGTCAAATGAATTCCTACCAATTCTTTTGGTTTTTGTTTTAAATAAATAAATTTTGTTTTAAGATTGCAGACATAAGCAAACACAAAGCTAAAACAAAGCATACTCCCACTCTATGATCCCCCCCTCCTTGTGAACTTGTTATATAACTGTAAATATGTGTGTACATAGATACATATATGCATATACATACATATGTGTATATATGTTTTGTTCATTTATTGATGATTGTATATCAATATAATTGTTTTCCTTATTAATGCTATGTATTTTATTTTATATGGGCAGCTAGCTGATACGGTAGATAGAGTGCCAGGCCTGGAATCAGGAAGACCTTCTTTCTGAGTTCAAATCTGACCTCCGACACTTAATAGCTGTGTGACCTTGGGCAAGTCACTTAACCCTGTTTGCCTCAGTTTCTTCACCTGTAAAAGGGACTAGAGAAGGAAATGGGAAACCACTCCAGTACCCTTGCCAGAAACCACAAATGGGGTCACAAAGAATCAGACGTGACTGAAAAGACTCAACAATAAATTTTATTTTATGCATTTAAAAACATTATTCTGAGAAGGGGTCCTAGGCTTCAGCAGACTGTCAGAGGGGTTTATGGCACAAACATGCTTAAGAATTCCTGCTCCCCCTGAATAGTTAAGGGAAAGAGAACAGAGTGATTGCAACTGATAAATCAAACTACTCTTCACTTTTATAAATCACCATTCAACACAAATTCCCTCTTCTCTCTTCTTCCTCATCTCCTATCACTTGGAAGCCTTTGCCCTTGCTCTTCCTTCACCCGTATTTCACATAATGAAGTGGTGATGGTGGTCTTATTCCTTACCAACATTAATCCCTCTACCTTTTCTAGTGATCTCGTTCCATCTCATCTCCTCTAACAGACTGCCCCCTCTGTCACTTATTTTCTTTCATTATTTCACTTATTTTCAATCTCTCCCTTCATTTTCTCCTGCCTACAAACATGCCCACGTCTCCTCTATTTGAAAAACAAAGCCCTCACTTGATCCTTCCATCCCTGTTAACTATTGTCTCATATCTCTTCCGCTTTTTAAACTAAATTCCTCCAAAAGGCCTATCTACACTAGAGGCCTGAACTTTCTTTCCTCTGGCTCTCTTCTTAACCCCTTATGGCCTGGCTTCCAACCTTATCATTCCACTAAACTGTTCTCTCCAAAGTTAGTAATGATCTTGGTTGACAAATCCAATGGCCTTTTCTCCATCCTCTTTCTCCTTGACCTCTCTGCAGCCTTTGACATTGGTGATCACTCTCTCCTCCATGATACTCTCTTCTCTCTAAGTTTTCAGGACACCACTCTCTCCCAATTCTCCTCCTATCTATGTGACTGCTCCTTCTTGGTTTCCTTTGTTGGTTCCTCACCTGGCTCATGCCCTCTAACCTCAGGTGTGTCTCAGGGTTCTATCCTGGGCCTGCTTCTCTTCTCCCTCTACCCCACTTCACTTGGTGAGCTATCTTATCAGTTCCCATGGATTTAATTACCATCTCGGTGCTGATGATTGTCACACCTACCTTTCCTGCCCCAATCTCTGCTGATCTCCAATCTTGCATCTCCGATTGCCTTTCAGACATCCCAAAGTGGATGTCCAGTAGACATCTTAAACTCAGTATGTCCAAAACAGAACTTATCACTCCCCGCTAAACTCTGCCTCCCACCATTCTCTGCTACTATAGAAGGTAACACCCTCCTTCTAGTCCCTCAGGCTCACAACTTTGGAATCATCCTGGATTCCTCATTGTCTCTCACCACTCTTCCCCCTTGGCTTGTTACCAAGGCCTGTTGCTGTCACCTTTGTGACATCTCTCCAATACCCCCCTTCTCTCCTCTGGCACTGCCACCACTCTAGGACAGACCCTCATCACTTCATGCCTTGACCTGGCAATAGTCTGTTTGTTACCACAGTGCCTAGAACATAGAAGATGCCTGATAAAAGCCTTTTTGTTGATTGATTATTGAACACTAGACTGTTATATGTATTGGGCTGTGTTTTAAAATCTTGTTTGTCTAATTCAGAGCCTTGAGGCCACGTGTGACCCTCTAGGTCACTCAAGGGCAGCCCTTTGACTGAATCTAAACTTCACAAAACAAATCCCCTTAATAAAAGGATTTGTCCTGTAAAATTTGCCTTCTAGCTCCTCAAGTGCAGCCCTTTGACTGAATACAAATTTTACAGAACAAATCCCCTTAATAAAAGGATTTGTCCTGTAAAACTCAGTCAAAAAGCCGAACCCAAGGGCCTAGAAGGCCACATGTGGTCTGGAGGATGCAGGTTCCCTAGCCTGGTTTAATCTATCCTGCAGATCCATTTTTTCTCCTTTTTTTAAATCCAGCCATATAGTTTTGAAAAGTACTGTTTTATAACTTGAAGTCTGAAGGCAGTCCTTCTTTCCTATTTTTGCGTTTTCTTGACCTTTTATTTCTCCATATGAACTTTGTTATGATTTTGTCTAGGTCTATGAAGTAGTCCATTGGTTACAAGGAAGTCACCTGAAACTATGGGACAGAGTAGAAAAAGCATTGGTTCTGGAATCAGAGGTATTGGGTTCAAGGCACAGCTCTCCTTTATGACCCAAGTGATAATTGTTTGAGCAATCACATCACCTCTCTGGGCCTCAGTTTTCTCATCTGTAGAATGAAGGGGCTGGATTAGATTTCATATAAGGTCCCTTCCAACTTTGATTCTATGATATAGGATTAAATCTGTAGATTCTTTTGAGTTATCTTACCATCTTTACTGTATTTGCCCAGCCTAGCCCAGAATATTGAATTCCATTCTAATTATTTAGATCCTTTATATCTATAAAGATTGTTTTGTAGCTGGATTTATATACATCCTATGTAAGTTAACTACCAGAGGTACAATGTATTTTTTGATTATTTTAAATACTATCTCTCTGTCTATTTTTTGTGGGCTTTCATAGACATATGTGTGTGTATACACAAATATGTTTATAGGTGTGTTGTTCATGTAAACAAATGTGCATATGTGTATATACATGTGTGTACATATGTGTATACATGCATATACACATATATACATGGCACAGCTAGGTGGCACAGTGGATAGAGCACCAGGGCTGGAGTCAGAAAGACCTGAGTTCTGGCCTCAGCTACTACTAGCTGTGTGACCCTGGGCAAGTCACTTCACCCTCTTTGTTTCAGTTTCCTCATCTGTCAAATGAGCTAGGAAAGGAAAAGGCAAACCATTCCAATATCTTTGCTAAGAAAACCCCAGATGAGGTCATGAAGTTGAATATGAGTGAAACAACAACAACACACACATATATGTATGTAGAGATATATGTATATATACTTATGTATTCCATATATACACATACAAACATTTCTCTGGTATAGAAACATTATCATATATCTATTTGTCTATACAAATATATCATATATGTACACACATGTGTGTGCACACTTAATTATATGCATATATGTATGTTTGCTGGTAATTTTAAGGGATTTATCTTGTATCCTTTGCTGAATTATTTTTAGCAATTCAATTTCAGTTTTTTGTTGTTGTTAATTCTCTGGGGTTTTTCCCCCAGTAAATCATCATACCATCTTCACATAGAGAGTTTTTTGTCTCCTATTTACTAATCATTATTCTTT